AAGGGCGGATATTCAGACATGCTGCTTCAAATCACCGCCAGCCCTCTTCTTCTCTGAGATTATTAAATGTTGTTTATTTCTTTCTCACCCTCCAACTAACTTTTACAGCTGTGGGACTGCCGTCAAACAGTCAGCTGGCCAGGTTGCACTGTTGGAAATGTAGTTTTTCCGGTCTGCTTCGCTCTGACAGGATGTGGCTTTAACCCCTTTACAGGATGACTACATTTCCCAGAAGAGCTTGCATTGTTTTCGCCTCTTTTAAAGCGGGAGGTTAATGTTTAAAGACCTGCACTGGGTTTGGAGTACAACGGTTAAAAAGAGAAATGCTCTTGGTGAGTGCGAGGATAACATACCCCCTAGTGGTGCTTCTGAGGAGCAAACAGTAGCAGCTTGCATTATACAAATGTGCAACAGGGTAACCCAGCAGGAGTTGGGTTTGGTTTGTAAATTTGAGTTCAAAATATATGATGTCATGACACACGTGGTTTTTAGAAATTAGGCATGCTTAAAATTGCTGGTGACTATGCAGTATTCAGAAGAATATCAGTCCTGGAGGTGTGTGAGAGCATGTACAAAGGATAATAAAACTGCAGGAAAAGATTCAAATAGGATATAAAAAATGTTATTGTTAATAGTGAAGAAGACTAAAGACTTCAGTGTTCTGGTGTAAAGGCTACGAGAGGTATTGTGAAATCTCCAATAACATTTCAGCTCCATCTTTTCAGTGTTTTAAGAAGGTGGAGCTAATAAAGGCATGACAAATGGGTGAAATCATGTGTATAATATGAGCCCAGTCACTGTCGGTGAAAGGTTCCCAAAAGACAGAGTTCAACATGACATAGCAAGATCACTTGTTTTAATATATCACATTTTATTCAGTTACCACTTTGACTCTTTTAGATTGAGCATATTCTTCAAACTAGTTAAAGAACTACCTGAATGTCAGGAACATCTATAACACTGCTGTTTTAGCAGCTTGGAATTGGATGCAAAATTGTAAGAAAAAACACTGAGTGAAAGATTCTGAGTGTTTTTTTTAAACAACCAGTGGAAATATGGAAAGAAATAATTACCAGAAAACATACGGTGAGCAAGAAACACAAAATATTCTTTATTAAATATACAAAATTTGTGAAACAGAATTGCATCACGGATTGTAAACTTTCCAATCTTACATACTACCTCAAGCACATTCCACCAGCTACACAGTTGAGGAGAAAAATACAATCAGTTTAAACTGAAATGCAAAAAAACCAAAAAACAAAACAAAACCTCTGTAAAATGGAAGACGTGAAAGAGGATGTGCCGAGTCACACGTAATGTGCAGTCTCTACAGTCGTCTATGCAACTCGATTTTGCAATCGCACAGCAGGACCGAGACGACGGGATAGGTCCGGATGCTTGTGTATGCTCGTGTATGCTTTGAGCTCACTGGCTAGTTATCTGTCGTGACGTTAAAAGTAGGCCGAGTGCTTAAATCACGGAGCGATTAGAAAGTGCAGTACGGTGTAAAGAAGATCTAACTATACCGATATCAGACAGACAGGTACAGTTTTATTCTGACAGTTAAGTAGTGCAAGAACATCCACGAATGCTGTTAAAAGTGGCATCATATCAGAATACTTAATGGTGTATCACTCTGCTCCATAGATTAAGTTTCAAGGCTTCTTTTTAAATAAATATGTACACACTATATTTTTGGCATTTCACAGGAAATCACTGTTTCTACTCATTTTCTATTGTTATGCATACATTGTACTTTTGTGCAGCAGTGACCTAAACATAAACAATATCAAAACAAAGCATTAGAAGAGTTTAAAAAAAAACAGAGAGAACAGAAAAATATCAGTGAACAGATGGCTTTTCTTTCTCAAAACCTGCCTCGGGCCCCGACAAGTTCAAACGAAGTGCTCGATTCTCAATGAACACCGAAAAACAAAAATAAGGCAGAATTTGGCATTTCAATACGGCATATATGCTGTAGAACGCGGTATATATCCCTTTGTAACACCTGAAAGCTGTAGCGATATGTGTGCTTGAGCAGAAGCATATGTGACACCCAAGACACTGAGGGAGGGAAGTCAAGTACCAGCATGTCGCAGGCATCTTCTCCTTAACGTGGTGTCGAGAACGCACATGTGGGAAGGCAGAAGCATGAGATCAAATAGCTGGGATGGCTGATCCTGATACTGACTGGATACTGAGTGATACTGTCTTCACCTGATAACACCGTGACCCATGCTAGAATCAGTTAGCTTATGTGGCTGAGCGTAACATGCCCAAAGAACGGAAAGAAGAAAAGAGGAAAAAAAAGAGGACGGAACAAGCAAATAAATGGGTGAAAGAAAAAGAAGAAAACACCATTCACTTGCTGGCTAAGAACACTTTTGAACATTCAAAGGCTACAATCAGTTCCCAGTAATGTCCACGTGACAAAGGCTGAAATCTGCTCATTTGGTTTGTAGTTTCAAAAACGAGTCAGAGCACTCGGTACTTATCAGGGAACATTAGTAGAGTCTTAATCCAAAACCAAACACACACACGCACACGCACACGCACAGACACACACTCTGGAAATAGTGGCACGACTCAAACGTTGCAGAAAGCCACACCAAAAGAAACATCAGTGGTTTTGCACATTTTTATCATGAATTTGCCTTTTTAGTTCACTTTGCATGATTTCTATTTGAAGATTTCTTCCTTCCTTCCAGATAGCCAGACTTCTGAGATCATTTCAATCAGGTCTCAACTTGCAGAGACTTGAAACTTTCCCTCTGTTGGAGGAAATGTTATGGTGCCTTTGTTATTTGTTAGCGGTGTTTCCATTGCGTACTGCAGCGGCTGCTGTTGGCGCTTCATCCTGACTCTATACACAGGACTCAAAAAGCCAAATCCAACATAAACTTTCACAAGTTTTACACATGAACTCCAGACAATGCAGGAGAAACTAGGTTAGGGGATTGCCCAGTGAACTGCTCAATGCACAGGAGATACTGCTGCAAATACTCAATGTAGTTTTTCCTTCAAATGTCAGGATTTTTAGTCTCTTTATGTCATTTTTGGCTTTTGAACTGGCAATTGAGCTAGCAACATCTCATTGCACTCCATAAAATGGCGACATTTTCTGTTAATGAGCTACTATGACATGTAACAAGACAACAAAATGCTCACCCTGATCGATCGGGTCTTGAGAGGCTTCATGCGTCTTGGATTTTCATGCCAAAAATAGCTGAAACAATGTCTGCCTTGAAAGAGGGGAATCAATCTACCACTTGACTGTATGCTGAAAAAAGGCCAACAACTGATGGACTAAATATGCAAAACCACCAGTACGTCTCTTCAGGTTGCTCTGCTCAAGCTACAAAGCTGCAACACTCATGAGGAAGTGTTGGTATTGTTTCATCTCGAGTGAGGATATAGTCGGATAAACATCATGTGGACTGAAACCCTACAATTTTCTCTCTTTTGTGATAAGGTGATAGAAGTGACAGGTGAGGTGAGAAGGAAAATTAATTGTTTTTACAATCAAGATCCCAAAATTGAAGCATCTGGGTTTTTTTAAACCCACCATCTGGCTTTGTGAACCTGAAAACAACCTGAGGACGCGCGCGCTACATTCATAAAACCACTCAGACCAAACCCTTCACCGAGGACGTGTTTCAGTACAGTAAAGCATGCCAGCTGGAAAACGTCGCCTCAACATCTCTCAGTGCCTAAATATTTGTATCAAAAAAGACAGCATAGCAGTGAAAAGACTAAAGAGCTGTTGTGGAGGTTAGAGTGAACGGATGCAACGTGAACTGCAAACCCTCTACCCCCCGCCTGAATTCGTCACTTGAATTTGGAGCGCACTTGCAGGAGGGTGGGCTTCTGCTCCATGATGCGCACCAGCAGTGTGTCAATGTAGTCCTCCAAATCTTTGACCTGCGGCTTCAGTTTCCTCAGCTCCGTCTCCCGCTTGGCCAGCAAATGTTTCTGACGTTCATACTCCCCCTTCTGCCTCTCCAGCTCCGCCTCGCGTTGCACCAGCAGGTTGACCAGTTCGCTGTGGGTCAGGTGGTAGTATGACCCCGCTCCTTCTGTCAGTGACTTAAGACAAAAAGAAAAACAAAAGGACAAGAAAAAAATATTAATTTAACAGGTACAGCCTTGTGTCTTCTCATTGCACTCATTACAGAATGAGATTCAGGAGTTACCTAGCTACCTTGTAGAAAGGAAGTCAAGCTTCCTGGAGATCTCAAAACAAATTTCTCAAGGTTCAACTACAGGCCCTGCTTTTTTTCCCCATTTTTATAAAGAATATTGCGAAGGACAAGCCTGTTCCTGAACTGCACCTTTATACAGATGATATAATACCCTACTCAGCCTGGTTTGAAGTTGCTTCTTAATACTAAGGAAACAAAACCTATGCTGTTCACTCCCAGATCTCGACAGTGGCGAGGACTATACTGCCTCACAGCAAGAAGGTCCTGCGTTTGAATCCACTTATTGGTTGGGGCGCTTCCGTGTTCAGGTTCTCCTTGAGGTTTTTCTCTGAGTGCTAGGGCTTCCTCCCACACTCCAAAGACATCCTGGTTATTCTAAGCTGCCTGTAAATGTGAATGGGAGCATGAATGCCTTTTTTCTGTCTGTTAGCCCTCTTCATAGACACTCCACCCCTACCCCCTTCTCCCAACCTTAAACTGGATTAGTGGGAAAAAAAATAGATGGACAGACTAATGAAATATCCCAGATCTCAAATAATCTCGGTATTCATACGCTAGGAGAAGACTTAGTGTAAAAAGGGTAATCCTACAAATACACATGTGTCTTGCTGGATGATAGACTTTTCTTTAACATCATATTGTGCACACACTGGTTTTTCTATTATCAGAATAGGGCCTTTTTTTAAATTTAGCACTCAGGAAAACACTCGGACATAATATGTTTTTAAAGGTTTTCATTATGATTATATTATTTGTTCTAGACTTCGTGTATCACAGTTATTTGTATTTCATATCAAATTCATTGTCCAGTACACGTTCCCATGTATTTTATGGTCTAGACCAGCGGTCCCCAACCCCCAGGCCTCGGACCGGTACCGGTCCGTGAGTTGTTTGGTACCGGGCCGCGAGAGTTGAGGCTCAGGTGTGAAATGTATAGTTTTCAGGGTTTTTATCGGTTTTCAGCGTTATTTTGTTATCGTTTTTATCGTTTACTCGGTTTTCCTTGGTCTTTTCACGTGTGTTATGAATAAATTTTCTTTTTTTCGGTACCGGTACTAGTTTTATTTTGTTGTATTTATCCGCAACACCTTAAAGGCCGGTCCATAAAAATATTGTTGGGCATAAACCGGTCCGTGGCGCAAAAAAGGTTGGGGACCGCTGGTCTAGAAAACGTCACTGGTATAACTATATTAACAAATCTGTACTGGATAAGCGCCCCCTTTTTATCTCTTTATTTACTTAACATTACAAAAAGCTACTATAATCTTCACTACTTTATATATCTCCTCATTAGGGCACTGAGTTTTTTGTTGTTATGTGTTTTTAAGGTAGTAGGACCTGGTTCTCTTATTTTGCACTGTGTTCATGGAATAACTTTCAGAGGACACTAAAGCTGAATGCGTTTGTCTCGCTGGGAGAGTTCAGAACTCTTATAAAATCTTCTGTTACTACAAGGTACAATTCTTATAACGTAAGCTATTTTATTTTATGTTAGTAGTTTATTTCAATTTACATTCTTTATCCTATGTTAGATTTTTGCCAAACACTGTACCTTCTTCCTTTCGCCCTCCTGCTCCGTCAGCTGGCTGCTCCTTCCGTGGTGGATGGTGGACTTTAGCTTCTCCAGGCCTGTGGCCAGCACTGACCGCTTCTCCTCAGCCTGCATGGCAGTGGGCAGGGGCTTCACTGGGTGGGGGCTGGATGTGACAAGACATACACACAGTCACACCACCACACTTGATACAACACCGCTCTCGGACTCTTATATTTTATATGAAGTTTTTTTCAGTTGAGGTCAGGTGAAAAACCCGGTTGCCATACTGGAGTTCCACAACTCTTGGATATATTTAACTTAAAAAAAAGCCAACTATGCTTCAACAATATACATCAGGACTATTTCTGCATGTGAAATGATGATCGTAGCTACATTAATAATAACCCAGGATTCTACAATATAAGTGTAATACTGGATTCTAGCACTTCAGCCCCAAACATCTTCTTAATAAACTAATGTAAGAAACCCAATCAGTCCGTAGCTTAAAAAAAAAAGGACTCACATCAGCCACATGGTGGCCGGGAGGAGCTATAGGCTGACAATAGTGCATTTTACTAGGGCCACAAGTGACCCTTTATTGACCCTTTCTGAAAATCACCAAAACCTTACTGTAACGAACAGAGACAAGAAAACCGTCTTGCTGCTTTGTTACACTGATTTGCATGAAGGGCAACAAACAGCCAAAAACTAGCCCTCTATTTGAGTCAGCTTAAAGGATCTTCTGAAACTCTACAGTTGACCTACATTCATAGGAAATCTGAGTCGACTTGCTGCACTTTCATACTCTCAATCAGCAATAAATCTTTCTTTATTCCAGGTATTGCAGATTAAGCTGTTATTTGAACGCAACAGATTGGCATGTGGACCTCCAGGGTGACATCAGGTGCTTAAGGACTCCTTGCTTTAAGTGATTAAGACCAGAGGAGGTTAGACAGGTGTAAGATGTCTTATTAAAAGAAGTAATGGTGAAAATTGAAAAGACCTTAAAAACCAAGAGACTTAATTGGATGCACTGGTGCAATCAATCATGTAGAATTGTATTAAATATGTTATTACCCGGAGGTGGAAAGGAAATGCTACCAGTGACAAAACAACACCTTTTGTGTCTTGCAAAAAAAAAAAGCCTGTTTTTTGGTTGAGATTTTGGCAAATGAGGATGGCTGTGTGAGAACTCTAGCTGGCCCTGTGGGGAAAGGGGAGGTATGTGAGTGTTTGTGTGCGTTGTGCGTGTGAGTGTGTGTATTCGAAAGGGAGTTGAAGGTGTGTGGTAAGAAATGGGGCAAAATAATAACTGCTAATTGGCCTGAGGCTTTTTTTCCCCTCCCATTACCACAGCCAGGACACATGAAAGACACCTACAGAAGAGTTCTGTTAACACCAATGTTGTTGTGTGTGTGTTTTAACAAAGTGAAGAAAAAAGGGAAGATCACACCACAAGGATGAGACAGGATGTGCAGTTGGCGCAGAGGAAAAGCAGGCGGAAGCAGAGCGCCAGAAGGACACCAAAGAGATGACAGGATAGAAATTTCTGCAAGTAGTCCTTCCTCTTCACCTCGTCACTAAGCACCGAGCATGTGCAACCTCACCTGTTCTGCTGACTGGCTGCCTGCTGCTGCTGCTCTGCCTCCTGTTGCAGTGGCATTGGCGCTGTGGCTTGCGTTGAGCTGGGCGGTAACCTCGCTGAAGCGTTGGCAAAGGGAGAGAAGGTAGAAAGCTCTACAGGGGAGCAAATACTTTCAGGAGCAAGAGAAGGAGCAAAGGAAATCAGAGAGGGAAGGTCGGGGCCTGGCTGAGACGAGGTGGAACCCTGCACCCCGCCAGGATCACTACCAAAAGAGGGTAGGAGGAGCTCGTCGAAGGGAGTTGCCAGTGTGCCCTCAGACTGGGAGCGGTGTAGTGTAACATTCTGTGTAGGAGCGCATATCGAGGACGTAGCATCCAAGACCTCACCAGCACTCTTCAGATTACAGCTCATAAAAGAGTCCGGCTGTGCTGCAGGGAATGATTGCAAGTCTCCTATTGGGAAGGTTGGCTCAAGAGTCGTCGTCTTGTCCTGAGCAGCTTGGGGAGATGCTTCAGATTTGTCAGTTTCCCCGATTTCCCCATTAGATAACTTGGATGCATTTGTAGAATCCATTAAGCCCAAAGCAGCATCTGCAGTTGTTTTAACATCCTTCAACTGCATCGTCTCATTTGGCTCAGAGACGCTGGAACTTTTGGAGGAAGAGTGAGACACGCAGGTTTGGTAATCCTGCGAGTCAATACTGACATTCAGACTTTGGAGAAAGCTGCTGGAGCTCTGATCAGATATCCGTCTGTGCAACTGAGTGTCATCAAAGTCTTGGCTAGGACTGTTTGCAATCTGACTGATGTTGAGTAAATCACCAAGGCTGCTAAATGGCACATTGGGGCTAACATCCTGGCCTGCTAAATGAGCCCTC